GGGACGTGTTGACAGACAAAAGTGAAAGTGAAGGTGTTTTCTATGATATTCCAATTTGAAAGAAATGTTACCTGACTACAGTCTACAAAGGAGGAGTCGATTCCTCCCATCTATCCTGTAGTTCTTTACAACGACCGATCGGGAAGAAACTTTTATGGAGGTGGGAATTTTGGTACTGACCCATTTATTAACCCCTGAATTGATAAGTGCTTGTAAAAAACCAAGACTTTTCTTATGGTAGGCAAAAAGGATAAGTGGACGAGGAGGAAGCGGTGGAGGCAGAGGCGGACCGGGTCGACTTTACATGAGAAGTAGCGTGATTTCGTCGTGGGGTGGGTGAGTCGCCACCTCCACAACCACCTAAATGCACTGTCACTCCAGGCTGCTGTGAAGTACTAACGAGGCTGCAAGTTGCCTGTCTGGGCGACACCATACCATAAACAGGTTGCAACTTGTGCTTCAAGAAGACAACGTAATAGTGACCTTTGCAAGGTATGCACAACAACGCCGTAATTACAGGTCTAGGGAAAATAAATCCCTAGCTCCATTTGCTCATCTACCCGTCTCCCTAATTATTCGCCTCCATGCATATTTACGAGCAAAAGCAGTTCATTCATTGGTAAGACTGATTTCAAGGTCGCAGTGCTTTGAATTGCACTTGAGGAAGGCTGCTGTTGTCACCGAGGGTAGTAAGTTTGGATATTATGCGAAAACTCACAGCTTTTATTTATAAGGTCTCTCAATTGCCAGTGTTAGACTGGCGCTGCACTGGGTCTGCTTTTCTTCTCGTCACCACGTGGTGTCCTTCAGTCTGTCCATCAATGTGTCCGCGGTCAGACTCATGCCATCTCCGTCAGGGTCCTTTGTCAGTTCACCGTTGGTAAACTGTCGGTGGAGAGTTCGCTTGCATTCCTCCAACAAAGGTTGTCCTTCCCTCTCCTTTTTATAACCTTGTTAAGCCTTGGTTGTCAGCCCAGTGATCGGCATTATGTGACGTGACACACCCTCACGTTCATCAGTCACATCACCCCATCCATTAGCTCCCTAACTCATCACTTCGTTATTCAGGCTGCTCATACCGGCCCATTTGTGTCACGCCTTCTTCGGAAGCAACTGTAGAAACGCAAGCCTCGTGCCTATGATGACACCGCGGAGGTGGGTTTAGAAGAGCTGCGACTATCAACGCAACAGCCATGGGTGTCCCAGCAAGTGCTGGCCTACCTCTTCAATGTTTACCTGTTCTGCATTATCTTCTGCATCACCGCGAAATATGCGTGTGTATGTGTGTGTGTGGTTGGGTTGGTGGGGGCTTGTACAAGGAACACGAATTCAGTCACAATAATTACTAGGGTGTGCACACAGTTGGGTCTCTCGAAGGATGGATGAATGGATGGATGGAGAGCTTTAATGTTTGGACAATGGGAAGAAGCAGATGTGACTACTGCTGAATGTTCCACATCTCCACCCATCTATTGCCACTTCCATCTGCATGCTGCCACCCACGGCCACACCCATGGGAATGCAGACAAATCGACTCAGTCGGAGGTGCAGACACCCAGCACGAGTGAACTGTCACACCAATGCTTACTAACACAAGCCGATGTGTCCTTTCCTTCCTTCATTCTTTCGTGAAGTGGACAACTACTCAGTAGAAAACAGAGTGAGGCAGCCTAACTGCTAACAAAACACACCTCTCGTGGGTAGTCTGCCATCGTGTCTGCCCACGGTCATTAGAACAGAGTGCGTTCTGATTTTTCACGTCTACCTCCCAAAGCACCCTCCGCCCGAAGTCGGTTGTCCACCAAACATGCTTTGCCACCAACACGTCGTGATGTGCTAATGCACTCAGAAAGCACCCCTTAGGAAGGTAGAAAGAAACCACTGCTCTTCACTACCACTCACTGCTCCATCTTTACACAAGCAGTGACTGCATTCAAGGCGAGTCCTTCATTCTCCCACCTGCCTTTAGTCAACTGCAAACAATAAACGCCGCCTGCCAAACAACGCCCTCCTATCCAACATTACCTATCCGACCAATCAGCAGACATACAAAGGTAGAGGTGGGCAGACAGTTGAGCCAAAGAGCCGATTCCGTGGATTTTGTTGGTTTGCAAAGCACACTGTCATTCAACCCTCGCTATGAGATGCCTTGTTAGCGGGCCAGATCGAAGCACACTGAGCTGTCGATTGTTCGCTGCATTCACAAAGCCAACTTTGGTGCGAACATCAAAGATCTCCAGTTGTTGTGGCACCTATCTGGTGCTTCGGGCACTTCAACTAGAAGGCTCGGCACATTTCCAAGCCAGTAGCTTTGTTTGAAGCAGCCGCTTTTAACCTGAATATCTCCATTTAAGTAACCCTTGTGCAGAAGTAGCGTTGCGACTCTAGCACATAGGGCTTCTCCCACAAGGAAAGGTTTAAACTCACCACTAAGGCAAATCAGCTTGAGTGGAGCGACGAAGGATATACTGCAGCAGTTTGCGTTGTAGATCCATCTACTTGCACATTTCTTGCTCCGTTTTTCTCGAACTTATAGAATTTAGCTCTTGACACTTCCTGATGCAGCCACTTATCATGGAAGGTGAGTGATACACACGCGCCACACATATGGGACTCCGAGCCCAAATAAGTTTGAAAGGCCAACTTTATTCACCAACTGTGAAGTCCACTTCGCCAGAGGCACAATTAGGCGAGTTTTTCCTCCCACTATTTACAAAAGCTACAACCACAACTAAGAATGCAAATTTTTGCGTTGCCAAGTGACCACAGGAAACCAATCAGAACAGGCGAAGTGCATTCGTCCACCTTTCAGCCCGCGCTTGCAAATGACAAAAAGACAGGAAGGCACCAAACAGCTGACTCCAGCATTGATTTCCACGCCAAACAACAGAGCCACCGAGACACTTCAAGGACATGTCTGTCACGTCGGATGCATGTGTGTCCTCTCCACTGCCGACATCCCACCATGCAACAGGAGATGCGCAGTATCACTCCGAGGATCTACCATTTTCGACATCGTTTCCAGCCTTTACGGCACTAAATCGGCGCCGACGAGTGACCTGCAAGTTGTGTCACCTTCCAATTGGTTATGTCGACATCGGAATGACACATCTTGAGGCTACACGCTGTCAGAAGGCGTCAGATTGCAAGATCGCCTCAGAAGATGGTAAATATGCGTCTGTCTCCATCGCTTGCCCAATCAATGTTAGCCTAAATTCTCGTCCAGCCACCGCCTGCGAATCATCAGATGCGATGGACGCCTACTTGACCTGGATCATGGAGGATGTGAATAAAAATACATTTGCTGCAGACAAAGTCATCTGTGATGGTTGTAAAAGCAGTCTGGGTGCCAGAATTACGTCTTTTGAAAGAAATCATGGTGAGCAGGAAACAGGGGATTGTGACCCACCTACCGAACGAGAGGAACGATGTCATTGGTTTACCTTCTCCCTCGATCGCATCAACGTAGAGCCGTTATTTGGCCTGGTTGGATTGAGGGAGCTCTCATCCTGGTACCGTGGTGGCGAGCGTTTCTTTCACAGAATTCAGGCTATCGAGGATTCGGGAGATCTGTCCAACAACTCCAGAACATGGCTGCGTCCACACGAAAGGGTGGAACAGAGCAGCAACCTGGACAAAGAGGTGGCAAATGAGACGTGGCCATTTCTTCTCATGGATCTGGTTAGAGCCAGTGAACTGCCCCAAGGCACTCTCGACCACCTGGACGGAAATGTGATGGCATATTTGAACAATTTGGACGCTTTTGATGCCAAATCGGGGGCTGACGGTGTTGACGATGACTCTGTGCTGACGCCGAGGAAATGCTGTTCCGAGGTGGAGTTGAATGAAACGATATCTGAGGCTGGTAAATAAATGACTCCTTCGAAATGGAATTTTGGAGAATTGTACTGGCATAGGTTTGTACAGTACGAAAGCTGCCAAGTCGAAAGTTGCTGGTGTACTAGTCACGGTGGTTAACGAATGCCTGGAAGGCAGCTCTGGTGCGGAAACACCTATTAGCACCTTCCTAATACACCTAGTGGACACCGGCTTTTGGAGGTTGCAGAGGTTCATGAATTACAATGCTGCATTCGCCATTACGAAAGAGAGATTTATCTCTTGTAGCAGATCATGGCAGGTTTGACATGAGTCAAATTAGGAGTTGCGTGCTTTCAATGTCCGTACGCTGCCATGATCGTCGCCGACTGCCAGACGGCAGTCTATAAGTCACTTCAACCATTCGGACACACCTTATTAGTGCTAAGAGACCTCAGTAGGTAGAATAGGTTGAAGGGAAGACCGCTGATTTCCGATTTTCTACACAAACAGGTGAGAAGGAGGGGGGGGGTTCTGATCTTGGCTGACAGCAGAGCGCTCCTTAAATCTCTCCTCGCATTTGAGGAGGATGAGGAGGAGGAAGCAGTGCTGCTGCTGCACACGCCATCAGTTGGGAAGGCGAGAGAGTACCCGTGGATCGTCACATTGACGCATGAATTTAATCATGGGGGCTGCACGTCAAATGCATTGGCCGCCGTGGGGTGTCATAGAGGCCGTCTCTGCCGTGGTCACCGTCACAGGTGCTGACACCAAGCCAACTTGTGTTTGCATGATTTAAATCATTTAAGAAGCAGTGATTATAGCTGCAGACACGTAAAACGGGCAACTCCAATTACCACAGTGAATGACAGTCACACTGACATTGGTGAGTGGACAAGACGTTGGGGTTGCGAGTGCCTCGCATCCTCCTTTCAGCTAAAACTTCAATTTGTCCACCCCTATCGCCTGTTCCAAATCACCTCCCCTTCTGCCCATATACACCTATGCCATCTACTCACGCCCCTTTACAGACAACGTGTTTGTATTCTCTTACATCGGCAACGGCCATGTGTTCTAACGAAGGGGTTGATTGAGAACCCATCAGATTAGTAGCAGTACGATGTTATATTTGGCTGTTCAACTTTTCTCATCCATCAGAAGGACACAAATTACGTGGAGCAGCGTCCAATTCATGAGGCATTTTTCTAGACCAAGGCCGCCGATATCAGTTCTTTCACATGCTTTCGATCGTACGTCCTGCCTCGGACGGAGCAGTTTCATGCCCGTTACTTGCGACCGC